CTGGTGGGCCCTTTAAAGGACGCGGACAATGTGCATGCGAACATCGTTGTCCTAAATAATCTTTATTTTAATAATAATAAATTTAAATTTTTTATTAATATTAAGGACCTTGTATTAAAATAATATAATATTCGATTTGAGTTTTTTTTTCAACATTCGACTTGAGTTTCTAACCTAAACATATGTAATATTGTTGATATCGAGTCTGATATATAATAATATAATATTTTGACTCACATTATGTGTGGGTGTTTTATTTACCATCCCAACATTAAATTATTATTTTTTTTGTTATAGATATTTCATATTTGTAGGTAGATAATGTAAAGTACTTAAAAGTTGAAATATATGTTTTGTTGCTAATATAAAACTGTTGATAAGTCCCTCAAGGAAAAATCAAAATAATGTCAAATAAATGTTTGTTAGTAAATAAAAGGTAACATATATACACATACCTTCACCTTGGTTTAATTGCAACATCTTCAATAAAGTAAATGTTTGATGAGACATGTCTCCTCCATAATCTAGGGACTATATATATACATATATGATAAGTCCAACTCCAACGACATAGATTAGAAGATAATCAATATTCGAAAACATCCAAATTCTGACGACACTACAAGAAAACAATTGTTTTTCAACAGTTCATTACGACGGTTTTCAAATCATCGCAAGAGTACAACGATTTTACGACGATTTAACGTCTAATTTTAAAACCGTCGTAAAACCGTCGTATATAAAAATCGTCGTAAACTCGACGTACAATTTACGACGAATTACGACGATTATACATCGATAACGAGAGATTTGCTAGTAAATGTAAAATCGTCGTAAATTCGTCGCAAAATTACGACGAATATACGACGACTACATTTCGATGTACATGTTACGACGATTGTACATTGAAAAAGGAGTTAGGTGAAAAACATTTAAAACATGTTTACCTAACAATTGTAGATGAAAAATTTTATCGCAAAATCGTCGTAAACTCGTCGTAATATTATTGTTGAATGTAAAACCGTCGTAAAAAGTCGTCGTAAAAGCGTTGTAAAGCCCGAAATTTTTCTATAAATAGATCTTCATTCCTTCATTCAATCACAACACATCATCATTCAAACATAAGAGCATATTCATCTTGGAGACCCATTGTAGGTCTCTTAAATTTTAGTATAGTGTTGTAAATCCTTATATATTGGGTTGTCCATTGCTGAAAACCCGAATTAAGAGTTATATTACTTTGAACCAAAGAAGTAATAATATTATAAGGTTAATTTACTTCATTCACGTGGCTAGACGTGACACAAAAGACCACCTCCTTTATTGTCTAATCAATAAAAAGAGATAGTATTTTGAGTTTATTTTCAAGATGTCTATATACGAGCTAAGAAGTTGGATGTATATGCGTAAAGATTCAGATGGGGCGTTGACAGAAGAGTTCAAGAACGGGTTAGAAATATTTATGTATCAGGCTACAAATATGGAGAAAACGAAAGATAGTGGGAAGATGTTTTGTCCTTGTTTGAAATGCAAGAATACGAGGTATACACTAACCAAAAGCGTGTGAACGCATTTATTAAATAGAGGGTTTATGCCGCAATATTTTGTTTGGTATCTACATGGAGAAGGATATGGCAGTAATACTCATGGGAATGCTGGTAGTAGTAGTAATTATCAAAGTCATGTTGATACTGATGAATCGAATTATGGTCATCAGCCTAATCAGTATCAATATGACCAAAGTGTAGATCATGATAGGATGCACGAAATGGTGACTGATGCATTTCATGAAACGCATACGGGTAATGCTGTTGAGGAACCTAATGTAGATGCCAAACGATTTTATGATTTGTTAGACAATGCTAATCAGCCAATCTACGAAGGATGTAGAGAAGGCTTGTCTAAATTATCGTTGGCAGCTAGGATGATGTCAATTAAAACAGATCATAACCTGGCTGAGGTTTGCATGGATGATTGGGCTGATCTTCTGAAGGAGTATCTACCGGAGGATAACTTGGCAGCGGGAACATACTACGAAATTCAGAAGTTGATTTTTAGTCTTGGTCTACCTTCTAAGATGATAGATGTATGTGTTGACAATTGTATGATTTTTTGGAAAGACGATGATCAGCTGGAGGAATGTCGATTTTGCCATAAACCAAGATACATACCTCAAACTGGTGGGCGTAAAAGGACGCAACCGTCGGTGGAGACGGACGAGGAGATGTTCCGATCTCTCGGGGTTGAGCCTCCTAGAGCCGGAGATCATGCGCCGGCGGAAGCATCAAACCGAAGACCCGGCAAGGAACACGTCCAGGACGATGGGGAGGAGGCCGGTGACGGGATCGACGGGATCGATTTAGATTTAGATTTAGATCTGAAAGGGTTTTTTTTGTAAATTACAATTAATTTTAATTTCAAATTTTCATAAATTTTAAATTGTAAATTATTTTTTTTATTTAAATTTTAATTCAAATTTTTTTTTTTAATTTTCAATTATATTAAACGTCGTATAATCGTCGTAATAGATTTATTAAAACCGTCGTACATTCGTCGTAAATATTACGACGAATTTACGACTACAATTACGACGATAAATACGACGATTATACGTCCGAGAGTTACGACGATTTTACGACGCAATGAAGAAATACTTTACGATTGATTTACGACGATTTATGCGTCGTACATTTTACGACGATCTTACGTCGACAATTAAGGACCACTTAACGACGGTCCAAGCGAAGACCAAGTCGACGCAATTCGATGTAAACTCGTCGTAAACTGTACGACGCATTTAAGACGATTTTGTTTCCCTCGACGTTACGACGAAACAAAACCATCGTATATTATACGACGATTTTACGACGATTTCGAAATCGTCGGTAGTCCGTCGTAATGGCCCTATTACGACGAAATAACGACCATTTCGGCCGTTGTAAAATGATGTTTTTCTTGTAGTGCGACTATATTCGTCAGAAATACGTCAGAAAGAAAAAATGTCAGAAAATATGCTTTCCGATGGATTTTTGACGGATTTTCAACGGATATGGTGGCGTCAGATTGAGCTCGTCGGATATTAATAAGTGGTTGGCAATCCGTCGGAATTTTTGACTGAATTCCGATACCATAACTTCCGACGAATTTCCGACGAAAACCGATGTTATTATTTCCGAAGATTTTCCGATGGATAACTTTTCCGACATAAATTCGACGGATTGATTTCCAACGACTTTCTGACGGATATTATATATTAATCAAAAAATAATTTAATAAATGTATATAAATTATTATAATTAATTTTTAGAATTTTCATAATTTTACTTCTAATTTTCAAATAGTTATAAACCACTATATAATAATATTTCTACTACTAATTTAACATTTTTTAACGCTAAAAAATAAAATTTTATTTACTCCACAACCTAATAAAATTCTAAAACCTATCAACAACATCATAATTTTCCAAACAATTATAATTTTAAACACAAAATTAATCTAAATTATTAATTAACTAACACCATAATTTAAATACTAACAACCTAAAAAAATTCAGTACAAATCTACCGAACAAAATCAAAGATCTAAACTAATAATTGAAAAACAAAATTGAAAAGGTTGAAATCTTACCCTGAAGACTGTTGAATTGGTTGGAGAGAATTCTGGAAAGGATTGAAGATTTGGGTGGCCGGAAATCGTTTCGGGTGGCCAAAATTCGTTAACCCCGTCTCTGGATTAGTTCTGGATCGAGAGATGGAGAAAAGAAATGAGGAAGAAGAAGCGTCTCGTTTATAAATTACAATATTTCTGACGGACATATCCGTCAGAAATCCATCAAAATCTCAAATTAGGGTTTTCTTTGGCGGTATTATGTTACACCTAATTGAAATATCCCCAATCCGTCGTGTAGGAATTATTTGGTCTAAGTATAATGATATGTTTTAGGGTATCTGACGGATTTCCAATGGATTGGGAATATTTTGATCAGGCAAGATGGTCTAAGTATAAAGATATTTTTTTAGGATATCCATCAGAAATACGGATTGAGAATATTTCGATTAGGAAATTTCAGCTAAGTATAAAGATATGTTTTTAGGGTATCCATTGGAAATCCATCAGAAATTTCTAAAAACACATATTGGGTTACAAACATGGCTTCTGAATTCATGTAAGATCCAAACATGGCTTCCAAATCCATCCAAGATCCAAACATGGCTTCCAAATTATAACTCAATCTATGTTTATGGAGTATCCGTCGAAAATTCGTCGAAAATTTACGACGGAATTCTGACGACTTGTTTATCATCGAAAATATGTGACAAATTTCTGATGGTTTCTGTTTTAGTCAAAAATCTGTTGGAAATCCGTCAAAAATTTCCAACGACTTATTTTCTGTCAAAAATTCTGTCAAAAATTGATAAGTTTTTTTGTAGTGATTGTATAGTCATTACTAATACTATTAATAATATATTAGGTAATTGTCCGCACTATGTGTGGAATAAATATTAACCATAATTTTTATTGGAATATGCAAATATAATATATATATATATTTATATAAATATAACTATAAAAATGCTAGCTGAGATATTTATAATTGCAAATCTATGCGCTGATTATGCTATTGCAAATAATGATTAAATAATTATTGGTTTCACAATTAATTTTAATAGTATTTTTTACATAAATAAGATTGCACATTTTTAAAAAAAATTGGATTAACACGTTCTATCTAACCGGTCCAACATCAGACTAAGATACTTTGTTTTGGATATAAAATAATTTGATTTATAATATGTTTGAAATTTTTAAAATTTTTTATTACTAAATGGATAGTATGCTTTTTTATAACAAAATTAAATTCAAAGAAAGATGAGATAAGAAATATAATGTTTAGTAACAATTTTCTTATAAATATATTGATAAGAAATAGTAAGAAAGAGAATATATTTACCAATTAAATGTTGAGTATGAAATATATAATTGATATAATAAATTAATTTCTAACCAAATTAATGTTATTGACATATGATGTAATTATTTTAGTAAATTAAGTATTACACATCCAGCTTCCGCTTCCGATTGAACCTAGTTTTACCAAAACAAGACAGCTATTACCCAAAGTTCCTTGTAAAAAATCAATTATCTCTGAATACTAACAATCATAAAACAATGCAACCCTTTACCCATCAGTCCTCTGAACGCCTCTTGAACCCCTAAACGCCTCTCTACCTCTCTACATATCTTAAGGAGCTACACCTGGCCGAACTACTTTCAAACCATCTGCTCCTTAAACAATTTCCAAAATTTCTCTTAAGCAATTTCATCTGAACAGCCATGGTTGCAGATTCACTTACTCGGAGAAAGACAAAGGGATAACGTACTCACCAGAACCACCTCCGGTTAAGTGCATTAGAGCGCCGGCCTTGGACACATGTGATCTAGTCAAGGATAACCAACTGACTCTTATTGGAAGACTCACCAACCTACGTGAACAGAGAATGTGGTATATGCTCTCCTCCTTTTCAAAAAGGTGGGGTCTCAGGGGAGTGGGAGGGGGGGGGGGGAAGCAATAGGTTCTGACCTTGGAAGAGACTGCTTCCAATTTCGGTTTGAAGTCCAAGAGGATCTCCAAAGGATTCTCGATGGAAGACCTCATCTTTACGCAAGATGGATGCTCATCATTCAGAAATGAGAACCAATCATATCTCCAGAATTCCTATCAGGTAGTCCTTTCTGAATAGTGCTCAAAAGACTCATGCTCCACTACTGGCAGGAGAAGATGCTAACGAATATCGGAAAAAATCTCAGTAAACTGGAAGCAGTTGAACTCACCATAACCAATGCAAAGGTCTGAGTCACTGTCAACGCTTTGGTTCCTCTCACCATGAAAAATAATCACTAACTTTGCAACAGGAGAGGAAACGGCTGTAGCCCTGCAATACGAGAAGCTCGATAAGTTCTGTACCTACTGCCACCGCCTAACTCTTGAAAGACTACTCTGCCCAACAAAGATCCAACATGAAGAACAAAAGAACAATGAGGATAAGAAAGATAGAAATCCACCAAACGATAACAACTAACCTCTGAACCGCAAACCAGACGATGATGAATACAGCCAAAGAACTGATAGGCATGGTCACCCTTACAGAAAACGTCCATCTCAGCGTGTCTCTGGAGACAACAGAAACGCACCTGGAGCATTATAGAGCAGCCTATATTCCTCCCACCATGACAAGACACGACATAATAACCTCACATACCTCATGGCCACACCTCAAAGACTTTTCACAGTACCAAAGAGCATCTCAAGACTATAATGGTAACTACTCATTGTTTCATGATAGTCATCCCACCAGAACCCACAAAAATGTAAGGCCAATATAAAGAGAAAAATACCACCAATCCCTTCTTAGGAGGATATCCATCAAGAACAAAGAGATAAAAGAACCACTACCTCACGCCCGAGAATCCCTTCATTGAAAAGAAATGTGGAGTGGGAAGTGTTTGAAGTCACCCCTCCCCCAATCAAATATGCAGAACAAATTATAGAGGAATTACAAAAGGTCACTATCCAGTACATCAACTGTGCTGATCCAATTGAGAGCGCTGTAAGAATACAAAGAGTTATACAAGGATTCTAGCACAATCCCTCCAACAGGCCCCTCAACTTCTGGATCAGAGTCAAATAGAAACAGTACCTCAACCATCAGAAACAAACAATGTTATCGGACCAGAGACGATCTTACCAAAAAAGAGAGGTGGACTCCCAAGGAAGATCTCCTCTGCAAGTCATCTCCTCAAGGGAGCTGTCTCAAAGAAGATCCTGGCACATCATCTGTAAAATTCTCCGAAGCCAAGCTCAAAAGCTGCAAAGACAAGAAATATAACTCTAAGAGGACGCAGCACTAGATCACCACTTTTATAATTTGTTACGCATTTCAAGCCTCCACCCATGCGATATGGCAGGAACAGAACAACCAAAGATATGGAGAAACAACCATCATTGAGGAGTGGCTGACCAAGATGATTGACAAGTGCATTCGGAACCAACTAAGTTCGATCCGAAGGAGTGGCAATCTGCGATACGAGGAAGTTCTCTGGGAATGGTTTTCAACCCGAGAAGTTTTGATCTTTTTTAGAAGTTAAAAATTTCAACCACAGTTTTTAAGAACATTATTTTTTTCTTTTGAGAATAATTTAACATTAGATTAAAAAAAAAACTCTAAGAATCCAACAAGCCAGACCCTCGATGAGTAATTACTCCTCTGGAATCCCTCGAGCTGGTCCCAACCAAAGTAACACGCAAAGACCCTCGATCCCAAACACCTCTAACCATGCACAAGCTTCAAAGAAAAGAAACTCGGCTTCCCCTAAGCCACATGCGGATTTTCAGGATCCGCATGATCCTCTTCCTTAAGCATTATTAGTTGGAACTGTTGTGGGCTGGGGAACCTGCAACAGTCCAGCAACTGCAGAAAATGTAAAAAAGCATTAAACTGAATATCTTGTTCCATATGGAGACAAAAAATAAGGATGAATATGTGGAGAAAACCCTTTCTTGGCTAGACCACGAGGAACATACCTTTGTTTCCGCCCACATTGTTAATAGATGAGGGCTTGCGCTGTATTGGAAAAAATAAATCAAAGTGGTGGTCCTATCCTCTTGCAACAACTACGTCAACACAAAAGTCACATACAAGGAGAAAATCTTCTACGCTACCTTCGTTTATGGTGAGCCTGACCAATCCGAAAGAAGAGAAATATATGAATGTCTTACCTCACTGGCCAACACTCGCGATTCCCCATGGTATTTATCTGGTGATTTTAATCAAATCATAGATAACTCTGAGAAAAATGGAGGCCCACTACGTGAAGAAAGAACTTTTGTCGACTTCAGAACTTTTTTGTCACGCTGTGATTTCTTTGATCTCCAAGATTCCGAGAATTTCTGATCATGGACAAGAGTTCTTCATACACACCTTGTCCACTGCAGATTTGACAGAGCCCTTTTAAACAATGCATGGGTTGAAACATTCCCATCAGGGAGATGCCATTACCTAAGATTTGAATGGTCAGACCACCGTCCTCTGCTTACACTCCTGGAATCACCTACCAAAACAAGAGGAAACATGTTTAGGTATGATAGGAGAATGGGGAAAATGAAGAAGTAAGTAAGCTAATTGCTTTGGCTTGGAACTCATCTCCTATAGCGACGGTCGAACAACAAATCATTAAGGTGAGAAAGACAATTTCTACCTGGAATAGAGAGCACCATATCTACAGCAGGAAAGTCATCGAAGCAGAACGACAAAGGTTAGAAGAAGCTATGAGCAGCCAAACTCAAAATGAAAGCCTTATTTATGAAATAAACACCAATCTCAAGAACGAGTATAAAAGGGAGGAAGCTTACTGGAAACAAAGGAGCAGGAACCTCTGGCTCTCCCTCGGTGATAAAAACACAGGCTCTTTTCATGCTGTGACAAAGGGACACAAGGCGAGAAACAAGTTCTCTGTTAAAAAAAATAAGGATGGAAAAGCAGTCTTCGAAGTTGATGAAATCTCAGAAGTGATAAGCTCTTACTATTCTGATCTCTTTGCTGCAACCACCACAAGCCGTGCCCAAACAGTGAGCCAATCTCTTGTACCTTGCATTTCCATGGAAACAAATGAAGCACTTATTGAAATGCCATCAAAAAAAGAAAATTAGAGAGGTGATTTTTTAAATTCATCCTGATAAGGCACCAGGACCCGACGGCTTCTCATCTGGTTTTTTTCAATCAAATTGGGTTATTGTGGGACAAAAAGTTGTAGAGGAAGTCCAGAACATATTCAGCTCGGGCAACATTTCAAGGACTATCAACGCCACCCATGTGAGGCTAATCCCTAAAGTCAAAAACCCGAAGACCGTGTCAGAGTATCTTCCTATAGCACTTTACAATGTACTCTACAATATAGTATCCAACATAATGACAAAAAAACTTCAACCGGTGCTCCCGGAGATCATTTCAGAGAATCAAAGTGAATTTGTACCTGGAAGGGCTATCTCTGACAATGTGATGATATCACACGAGACTCTCCACTTCCTGAAACATTCTGAAGCCCAAATCCATTGCTCAATGGCCATCAAGACCGATATGAGTAAGGCCTATGATCGTCTTGAGTGGAGTTTAATCGAAGAGGTCCTGCTGCATTTGGGCTTTCATGAAAAATGGATTCACCTAATGATGCAATGCATAAATACAGTTTCATACTCTTACCTTATTAATGGTGCAGCAAGGGGACTGGTCATACCTCAGCGAGATATCCGTCAAAGAGATCCTCTATCTCCTTTCATCTTCATATTTTGTGGAGAAGTTTTATCGGGTCTGTGTAAAAAGGCTCAAGCAAATGAACGTCTCAGCGAAATCAGAGTCTCACAAGGAAGCCCGAGAATCAACCACATTTTATTCGCAGAAGATACCATTTTTCTCTGCAAAACAAGTGAAAGAAATTGTCAGGAACTAAAGTCAATCCTCCAAAAGTATGAGAAAGCCTCATGCCAGATGATCAATTCTTCTAAATCATCGATTACCTTCTCTAAGAAAACCCTTGTTGAAGTTCGAGAAAGAGTCAAGCTAACTCTGAGAATCTAAAATGAAGGAGATCAAGGCAAGTACCTGGGTTTGTCTGAACATTTCAGAAGTAGAAAGAAGGACTTGCTTACTCTCATCGTGAATCGAATCCGACAGAAGATCGTCAGCAGGTCATCAAACTTTCTGTCCAATGCAGAGATATTAACTCTTCTAAAGTCGGTCCTGTCCAGCCACTCTAACCTACACAATAACATGCTTCAAATACCAAAGAGCTTATACAAGAGAATACAATCAGTCCTGACCAGATTTTGGTGGGATTCTAAGCATGATGAAAGAAAAATAAGTTGGGTGGCCTGGTCAAAACTCACCAAGTCTAAGCAGGACAAAGGCCTATATTGAAAGCTTCAATGACGCTCTTCTCACCAAAATCAGTTGGAGACTGCTGCAAAATCTAGAAAGCCTCCTCGCCAGAGTGTTTTGGGGAAATACTGCAAACGAGAATCATTCACGTCGGTAAAGACTTAGTCAAATGTATCACATGGCTGGCAAGGCATTTTAGTGGGAAGAGACTTACTTCTAAAAAATCTGGGGAAAGCTATTGGTAATAGGAAAACAACCAGCATTTGGGATGACCCTTGGCTATCTCTTACTACTCTCTACCATCCTAGAGATAAAACCAAGCAAAGAAGAAGCAAAAGAATCTTACAACTGGCTATCAACTAAATCAGGCAACTATACAAAAAAAACCGGATACCATACAGCGAGAGAGAAACAACAAACAGGAGATGGCTTACCGATCGACATAAACCATGGTTTCAACTGGAACGAACACAAGTGGAAAATATCCTCTTCTCTAAAAATGAAGACCTTCCTATGGTAAATAATCAAAGGAGCACTACCGTTAGGTGAAAACCTAGCAATAAGAGGAATGAGACAACATATACCTGCCTGAGATGTGGTGCTCTGAAGACTTCTTCTCATCTCTTTTTGCATTGTGAATTCGCATCAAGAGTTTGGAGTTTGATTCCTTTTGCAAGACCCTTCAATCTGCAAAGTTTCATCGACTTCAAATCAAGCTTAGCCCTCTCTAGACTTATTCATTGCTTACCCTCCTCAGGAGTTTTTTGAGGGCCAATCTTCCCATGGGTATGTTGGCAAATCTGGTGTACTCAAATTTCCTGATCTTCGATAGATGAACCATCACAGCAAAGGAAGCATCCATCAAAGCAATCGCATCGGCTAGGGAGTGGCAGCTTGCCCAAATCAAAGAGAAACCAACCACACCACCACCGACAAAGGATCCTCCTCGATCAAGTCCCCCAAACTCGATTGATAGCTTCTCTAATGCAGCTTGGAACGAAACAAGTAAATCTGTAGGGTTGGGATGGTGGTTCGGATCGCCAACCATGATTCTTGGCACAGGACGGAGGCTAGAAGCGCATGTCATCTCCCCCCTTGTCGGAGAAGCTCTAGCTCTCCGATCAGCGCTGGATCAAGCTCTCCAATCCGGCATCGATAAGCTCTCGATGAAGACTGACTGTTTGGCCCTCTTCAAGGTTTTGACCACCAACAAGTCGATTAAAAAAATCTTCATCATTCTCTTCGACATCAAAACACTCGCATCCCGATTTTCTTTCTTTTCAATTTTGCATATTCCCAGATCAGAAAACTCTTTTGCTAATGTACTAGCAAAGGATGCTTTGAATCTCACCTACCTCCATTGTAATGTTTTTTTATTTAATTAATGAAATAAGATGTTAAAAAAAAATAAGTAATTTTTTTATGTGTTTTGAGAAATTCTCTCATAATAATACATTAGCATGACACTTTTTGTAAATCACACATTAAGTACATGTTTTTTTTTTTAAATGTCATTCTCAATTAATAACATAAGATAGACATTTTTCTCGAGACTTTTATATCTTAATTTATTTATTTAGTCTTGTTTGAAACAAAAACTCTATACACACGATACTATGTACAGTGTATTCTCATGTTGTAAGGAATGGACCAAAAACTATAATCTTGTTCCTCTATAATATTGATATATATTAAAAAAAAATGTATACATTTTCCAATTAAAAGGATAATAAGAAACCCATATGTATATGTGTTAATCATGAATGATAATTGCATGAAAAATAATTAGTTATACATACATGAGCTTACGGTAATATGAAAAGGTGAATGAACTTAAAAACAAAAAGCCAATTAATTAGTTTTTTTTGTCGGCCAATTAATTAGTTTCGAACTTGGAATATAACCCAACATATTATATTATATTATATATACATATCTTTTTCAATCTTATTTGGCTATAGTTCTCTCTCAAAGTAAAATTAAAGAAAAAAGTCTCTCTGAAAGTAATTTATTTTATCTTATTCCCCAAAAATCAAAAGTTAATGAATGTAAAGAGAATCATGTCACAGAAAAAAAAAACAAAGAGGGATGCTTAGTTAAGTAAATTTCACGAATCCATAACTACACTAGTAAAAATGGATGGCATTTGCCATTAGGAGATTTGAAAGAAGCTTTGTACATGGGAGGGCCATGCAAATGCAGTCTAGCAAGGATGACAAAACCATAAGAGCCATCATGATAGATGTTCATGCGAATATTAAACTAAGCCAAAGATAAGTTTGTATATGACCGTATTACATATACATTTGATGATAAACATCTGAAAATTAATTGTTATGAATAATCATGGAATGATTAACCGATCTAATAATAAGGTTATCGTTTAATTTATATATCATGAATTATTGTCAATGTTTTTTTATTACAACAAGAATATTGATAATAATTAATATTATTGACAGTGATTTTATATTAATGTTGCACTTAACTTATAACAGTTATTAAGAATAACAATATTAATGATACCTCGATCGAACTATAAGTTTAGGGGTTTTTGCTAAAAATAACCTAAAACTTGACTTTGAATACAAAAGTAGACCCCTGAAAAAATATTTGACAGAAATAACCTAAAAGAGTAGTGAAAAAACCATTTAATCATGTATGAGTAAACAAAAAACGGATGTCCTAATTACCGTTTACACCCTGACAAAGTCTACTAAAGAGAAAAAGAAGTCTAATAGTAGACTTCTTTTATCGAAATGAAGTCTACTAAGTAATTAAATCTGGAAATTTAATTTTATAATCTAGAAAATATTATTTTGGTATCAAATTTACATTCATAAGTTCCGTAATCGTAACCCAAATGTACAGAAATTATTTTTTCATATTGCTAAATGAAAATTTATGTTTTTAAATTAAGTAGAAGTAAATTTATTATTTAAGTTTTAAAAGTTGTAGACTTCTATATTGAAGTCTGCTAAACCAAATAAATTAACCTAACCAAAATTTAAACCAAAATTAAACCAGGAATAACTTCTCTTAACCAAGAAAAACTGCCTGTAACCGGGTAAATTTATCTAGACCCCATAAAATTACTAACCCTAACCGGAAAAAATTTACCCAAACCGAACGGAATTACCAGACTATATAAAGAAATTTTACAGATCCCGTAAAAAAAAACCATCAAAAGTTTGTGTTAAAAAAAAAGTTGAAGGCGATTACTGTTTCTCTTCTCTGGCGCCGCCGACTTACAGAACCGCCGCCGATAAACCCGTTCAGGCAAGTTTTCTTCCTCCAACCACACCCCCATGCTTCCCTAGTCCTCCGTATTCATCACCTTTCCTTTTTCGTAACCACCAGTGTCCAGATCTGAAATTAGGGGGTTTTTTTTTGCAGATTTGTTTTCGCCGGTGGAGGTTAAAGTCATTTCCTGCCTCAAAACGGTTAGTAGATGTCCTTTCGAAGATATATACTTAGTTATTCCTCTATTTCTTCTATCTTCCTGTAATTTTATCCGTCGGGTTTAAGTACTTAGGTTTTTTTTTCTCAGATCTGGTTGCATTTTCTCGACGCCGGCTTCATCTAATCACGGCTGTAAACACTATAAACTTTGTAGATTCCATTTGGATGATTGGTTTTAGTAGACTTCATATACAGTATTTATCATGTATTGATTGTTTCGGTTGGGTTTAGTAGACTGCATATGCAGTATTTATGATGTTTTGATTGCTTCATGTGGCTTCCGTAGACTTCGTATACTGCTTTTTTATGTTTAGATTGCTTCGGTTGGCTTCAGTAGACTTCTCGACTCGGATTGTACTTAGAATGTGAAGTAGACTTCATTTGACAAAAGTAGACTTCCTTTGGCAATAGTAGACTTCATTTTGCAAAAAAGTAGACTTCATTTTGTAAAAGTAGACTTCATGTTGAAAAAGTAGACTTCATTTTGAAAAAGTAGACTTCATTTTGAAAAAGTAGACTTCATTGTATCAAAAAGTAGACTTCGTTTTGTAAAAGTAGACTTCATTCCTATATAGTTTCAAACTGTTAGTTATAACTAGTTTTCTCATTAGAGCTTTGTTACCGTCGATGCAGAAATCTGTGTTATACAATGATGGCCTCTGAATTCCCTAGAAGACTGTACACCAAAGGCGGTGAGCCAGCCCCGGATAAAAGAATCGGCTATTATGCTGATGATTATAGGCTGGTACCTGCACTAAAGTCAGCTCTACAAGAGGATGAATGGGAATAGATTTACGAGTCACCGTTGGATGTCTTTTTAAAATTCCACGACTTGGATTTTGGTTGGGCTTCTAGGCTGGTGCACCACATGCTAACCTTTCAGATAGTTTGCAAGCAGAGGTACGAGATATGGAGACTGATTGGTACCACTCCAGTTTGGTTTTCATTGCATGAGTTTGAGGAGATCACCAGACTCAACTGCGGGTACGTGGATGACTTGGCTGTAACTGATCTTGAGCTTTCTGATATGCATGCATTTTGGGAGCTAATGGGGGTCGATGTCGAGTCGGGCCCAAGCACTATCGAAATTATTGAAGCCTGTTCCAACTGCTCATCATGGTCTCGGGATGATAGGCTGCGGTTGGGATATCTTGGGATCTACGCTGGTTTCATAGTGGCAACGAGACCAGGCTTATCCACAAATGTCAACCATGCCATACTAGTGATGGATCTCGAAGGTTTTAAGGAGTTCCCATGGGGAAGAATTGCTTTTCAGCATCTGATCAAGTCTGTTAAGGAGAAAGATCTCAGCAAAAACATTCATATAGAAGGATTTGTGCAAGCTCTTCAAGTGTGGGTGTACTATGCTCTGCCGGATTTTGCTGCTGAATTTGGCGAACCATTGCCAAATGATCCTACACCTTTTATGCTGGCTTACAAAGGATCAAGAGGACGAAAGAACGTCAAAGCCAACATGCTAAAACAGGTACTGTACTAGTCTAGTCATTCTCATTTAGAAGTCTTGTTCCGTAGTAGACTTCTATGTAGTAATGAATTTACAAAGTAAACTTCAGGAGCAGACTTCATGCGTAGACTTCTATATAAAATCTTGATAGTGGGAGACTTCAGTTGTAGACTTCAGTAGTAGACTTCAATGGTAGACTTCATACGTAGTTTTTCCAGGCTTCATATGGCTAGTAATTCATTTACTTATTGTGTTTTTCCAGGCTCGCATACAGTGCTGCGTGGCTAAAGACTTGGCGGATATATTTCCAGTTTGGGATGATGAGGAACAGGATCCGGATATTGTCAAGATTGTCAATGCAATCCATGACCCCTATTTCAAGTTCTAAAAAAAACCACTGGCCTTTGGAAGGTGTTTTGGGTGCACACATCGTCAAGGCAGAAGCAGGAAAGAGGAACATTCCCTCAGATGAATCAAGTCGCAAGAGAACCTGCACATCGTCAAGGCAGAAGCAGGAAAGAGGAGCCTTCCTTCGGAATTTTTTTAATTTTTTAATTTTTAAAAAATAGTAGTCAAACACTAAAATGACCTATACGTTTTTGGTCAAACTACAAAAATAACTTTAAGGTAGACTTCTTATGCAGACGTAAACAGTAGACTTCATACGGAAGTCTAGATCCAAAAGTAAAAATATGGTCAACTACAAAAATAACCTCTTTTCTTTAGTAGACTTCTTGAGCCTTCAAACGAAGTCTACTAAGCTTTTTTTGTTTTCAAAGGATGTCGAGTAGACTTCTCGTGAAGTTTAACGAAGTCTACTTTTAAGAAGTCAATTGCAAAAATAATCTTATGTTGACTAGTAGACTTCAATATACTTCACGAGAAGTCTACTTTTGCGATATAAAAACTGAAATGTGGAGAAATTGAAGTGTGAGGATTACCTTTAACAAAATTGAGCTCGCCTAAGTTTCTCTTAAGCACCCAGAACTAAGGATTTCTCCGAAAATAAACAACCCAAGTGTCGAGTAACCTGAAATCACCGAAAATGCATGGCCTGACGCATTGTAACTTAGCCCAGATGTTTTGGAGAAGAAATTATGAAAGAATGAGCAAGTTTATGAGTGAATGAGCTCAGATATTTACTTATTACAGCTTTAAAATTGGTTGAGAAGCATTTATTCCCATTTCGTGGTTGTTCATGGTGGTTGAAGGAATTGAAGAAGATGGCATTTTCGTAAATAAATGGTTTTTAGGAGGACCAAGGAGACTTTAACCAAATTAAAGAAAAATCGAAATAATAGATGTATAATGGTACTTTCGTTAATAGTTTAGGTAGGAAAGATAAAATTGTGAGAAAATGGCAAAAGTTGAAAAAAAAAAAAAAAAGTTAATTTGGTGTTTGACTTTGAAATGTAGGTTACATCTGAAACTATCTCATAAGTTTATGAATGATTATTTATTATATCTTAACAGAAAATAATAATGTAATTTCCTATTTCTAGCGTTGGTGGTTGAACTGGTGTAATTATTAACATTAGTGTTTTATGATAGTATTGTCTAAGATATTAAAAAACCAAATGAAACTGAAAAATACATTTACATGGCTGAGAGAATTTTGGTTACTAAAAACGCAAAATATGAAAAATGTGAAGGCATTTCTATTTTCCTTCTTTTTGTTTTTTCCATACAAGTTTTTTACAGATAATTTTGTGATTTTTTAAAAAAATAGAAGAAATTTTTTATATATCATAGTAGAATAATTAGATATATAATTATTCCGTTTAGGCAAAAAAAAAATCAAAAGAAAAACAAAGAAAAATGTCCAAAAGTGTAAATGATATAATGTCTTGGTCGCTTTTATCATCATGATTTGTTTGTTATTCGACGTGTAATTATATTATAATATATGAATATTACCGATGCATTAATTATTGTGTTTATGATTATTGTGTATTCTTTAACGTTTTAAAACAAAAAAAAATATTATTGATTAACAACAAATTAAAATAGAAAAAACAAATTAAAATTTAAATAAAAATTTAATTTTATATTTCATATAAGTATTTTATAAGAATATTAAATTTTAACATGTTAAATATATATATAAAACACTTATGATGAATTTTTTACTTTTTAAACAATCTAAACCCATTTTCAGGTGATTTTTCACAAAATAGAATAGATGGTACATTTATTAGTTAAAAACAAAACAAAAAAGAAGTGATTTTATTAAAATCGTTTATTTTGTTAAAGGGTCTTCTTGAATTTAAGGCAAAACATAATCCAATCAAAGACTCTTTTCATGTATATAAATTAGTTTTCCTTGTAACAATATAGGCAGATTAGAAAAATTGACAAATTACAAAGGCTCTAACAAGTGGGACTCATCATGTATAAGATATATGCTCAGAATGATTAGGACCAAGCCTTGAAAACGACCCTTATCAGGAACTAGTCTCCCATCTCTTGCAACCTAATACATTAACCAACCTCAAATTAGGATACTGAAAAGCAAAAAAAACAAAAAAAAAAAAACAAGAAAAAAAGTAATTCTTGAAAAACTCTTGAAATTGAGTATAAAAATACCCAAACAAGATTGTAAACAACAGGAGGATTTGGTGAAGAAAGTGATAACCCTCTTGTCTAAAGCATATTGAAAAATTTCTCCATACATAGTCTTTCACCTTACCAAACATTGTTCCCATATTAATTGACAAATCAACCAAATGTACTTGTTGGTACAAACTAAAATCACAAACATCAAAGATATTTCTTTTTGCTTAATTCATCTCCCCCAAGCTTTGAACATGTAACAACAAACAGATAACAACTTGGAAAATATACAATTCACCTAACGTGTTCCCATTTTCTCAGCAATCAAAACATAAGACAAGAGACGGTAAAAAAGATTCTATCTTGTAACGCTTTGGTAACGCAAGGATAATGTTCCTACATATTTCAGAACAAAAGACTTATTATTATGCAAGAAAAGGAAGATGAAACAAAAGACTTAATTTGTCTTAGTCAAGGATTTTGGTTTCCCCGACTCCGGATCATCAACAAGGATCTTCTTCAATGCCTCCAAAGCCTCCATCCTCGACTTCGTAAAGATGCAATCGTTTCGCATCAGGTCACAAGCCTAGGGGTCCATCTTTTGGTATATCATACGTTGAATATTCTTTTGGTATCTTTTTGTTTTTTTTTAAATAATAAAATATTCGACAAAAAAATTATAATAATAAGATAACTCTGAGAGTTGCGAAATAATTGGCAAACATAGGTTATGATTCGGATTATTAAAATACTTACTATCAAAGAATTTTTTTAACCCAAAAAAAATATAACCAAAAATAGATGTATGAGTAGTATTCCTTCTCAAGATGTGAAGATTAGAATTCTGTTATTGCAGGTCCGAAGAAACAATAGTAAACAATAGTTATTTACTGAGAGGAAGATATTAGCGAAAGAAGAACCAAATTGTCATGAGTTATGTACTTGATGATCCTCTGTTGCAATCTCCCTTAGCTTTCTCAGTGCAGGGAATCGAAGAGTAGTGAGATCAGGTATGTCCTTCTTCCTCAGCTCACAGCACTTCAAAGCTAATCGAGCTAGACACAATTCTTTCTTCAGGCCAATCTAATATTTTTGGATCCAAAACTTCTCTAAAAATTCATAAACCATATATACATAAACAAGAATTAATTATACATACCTGAGCTTACATTAATTTAAAAAGGTGAATGAACTTTATAGAAAAGGTAAGAGTGATGCTAATTTGGTTATAGTTCTCTTTCAAAGTAAAGTTAAAGAAAAAAAATCTCTCTGAAAGTAATATTATTTCATCTTATCCCCCAAAATAAAAGATTAACGAATATAAAAAGAATCTTTATATGGTCACAAAAAGGCAAGAGTGATACTTAGTTAAGTATACTTTACAAAATCATAACTAAACTGGTAAATTTATGGCATTAGCCATAAGGAGAGTTGAAAGAAGCTATGTACAGGGAAGGCCAAGCAAATGTAGTCTATTAAATATAACAAAACAATAAGTGAGTCTGCATGATAGACAATACATATTTTATGTATTTCATACAAATAGTAAATTGAGCCAAAAATAAATTTTTGTATAACCGTATCATATATATATATATATATATATATCTATTATATTAAAACAGAAGTACTTTTACTGTTTGTTTCCAAACACTCCCAAAGTTTTTTTTATGATATTTTATTTATATTTATATTTAATTTCCGAAAATTAGTTATTAATTTAGATATTTTTAGGTTTCCTAAAATCTATGTCATCTCTAATTTAAATTTCAAATTACTGGAAATTTATGATAATTATATTTAATTACAAAAATCTGCATTTAATTTAATTTAAATTCAAAAAATTCAAATTATAATTAAATTTTATTATAAAAATTTAGATAATAATTTTAATATTTTAGAATTCTTTAAATACAGGTTAGATTTAATTTAAAATTTAAATAATATTTATTCATAATCAATTGGTCCAAATATTTAATATTAGTAAATATTTATAGGGTTATACATTTATAAATATAGTCTTATACAGGTTAGTTTGTCAAAACATAGAAGATATTAGAAAGGATTTAAGACAACTACACGAACGGATTAGCAAATTCATAGATTTATAGATTGTTTATGTGTAAATCTAAATTCACATAATAACAAAGTTTATGATTAACAATAAATCAATGTATACTTAATTAACGCATATTCTTATTCTACTAATATTCAAATTTTTACTGTTTAAACTAAAACATGATAATAATTTTTTGATTTAAAAAAAATAAATAACAAAAACAAATTATATCTAAACAAACAAATAAATATAACTTATTTTAGAAATATAAAAAATAAAAAATTCTCGTACAGAGACACAGGGTTAAAATCTAGTATATTATTAAAAAGTCTTCATATTTAATTTTTGGGTTTTAAAATATTTACAAAAGGATGCAGACATTAATTTAAAGCTAAAAGACCAGAAAAGGCAAAATGAAAAAAAACAGAAGCCCACTTATTAAAACCCTAAAAAAGTTGAGGCCCAACACCGGCCCAAAACAGGAAGAGACAGAAATCCTAATCCACAACACCACCATTGGAGCCACCGCCACCAGCTCGTCTGACGGAAAACCGATCTTCTGCGGCAACCAACCAAAGCTTTCCGGGCCAAAACAAACTACCGCACGACTAAGAGGAAAGACCACCAGAGCGCCGCCGCATTTGAAACTTACCTGAGGGAGAATGAAGACTAGATTTGCAGAGAAAAGGAAGTAGATCCGGTCAATGCCGCCGTCTAGGTTCCGTTCAGACCTGCCACCGACAAGCTTACTAAACAACCGTGGACGGTACCTATTG